ACTTTGAATTCACATCTCATTTTATTCTTAGAGCAAAGGAATACTAATGACTGAGGAAACAGGTGCTTTTGATAACTGACAAGTCTTCAGTTACGTGTGCATGGCTCTTGGAGAGAGAGGCTAGAAGACTTCCTGTGTTGCAGCTTTGCTGTGTGTATCCATTGTGCTCTGTTTCATTTGTTAACATGAAGTTAAATGGAGGAAATCTAGTAGAATGTTAGCTGCATCTGTCTCTCTTTGGATAATTTTGTTTCATTACCTTTTAAAACATGAGTTTTTATATTTAGGTTCGTCTTTAATATCTATTTGTAATAATGAAGTTTTCTGATGGACTCATAAAATGTAAAGAATGTGGATTATTTCGTCCACATCTTCTGATGACATAAGTTTCCTAGGTATAACGGAGTTGAGAAAAAGGACTATGCCACCATATTGCCTGAATTTTATAGTAGATTTAATTTGACTGAATAGTATTTTGCCATGACCATTAAAAAGAAAAGAATGCTATTGATTTAATACAGATACATTTAAATTTTTAATAGGCTCCCCTTCCCACCAAACTGCAGAAAGCACAACAATGTAGATCCTTCTTTCAAGAATGTTTTTATTGTTTAATATAACCATAGCAATTTGTTTAGACTGTTTGAGGATCCTTTGAAAAAAATCATTATCATTCTTTCCTTTAGTAATGAGAAGACTTATCTCTTTCCCTCTTTATAATCCATTCTTGAATTTAATATTATTCTCTTTTCTTAATTTTAGAGGTAAAAACTCAGGCATCCATCAAGCCAGTGTGTCTTTAACAAAGAAGCATTGCAAAAAAAAAAAAGAGGTCATGCTATATTTGAGTGACAAACCCCTGCAGCATATGGCATGAGGCCTGGCTGCAGAGGAGGCACTCAGTAAGTGGTGAATTGACTTGAAACAAAGGTTTTCCTGGGTTCTTAATAGAAAGTTCGAGAGTGGGTATGATGGACTAAAAATCAGTTCTAAAGATTGTATATTACTCGTGTATATATTCCAAAATCTTAAGGTTTTATAATTTCTTAAATTAAAAGCTAAAAAAGAAAGAAAAAAATTTACTCTGTGTCAGATTAACCCAGATTTTAACACTAATGTAAAGCACTTTTCCTTTTTTCCCTTTTAAGCCTCTCTCGGTGTTTCCTGCTTTTTTCTTTAGGATATTAGGTAAAGGGAAAGAGAATGATAGGAGAGTGAAAAAAAAAAGACCTCAATGTCAGTATTTTTTGCCTATTCCAATTTCCTACTTTAAAGTGAAAATTAGCAAAATCTAATTTGAATGAGTGATTTAAGTTTTATTTCCCTTTTTTAGTTCTTAAAGCTAGAAATTGGAGTCTTTATCACTTGCCTCAAACAAGGGATAATAGAACTTTTTTTCTTTACAAAGATTTTTTGTCAGTTGCATTTAAGAAGAGGATTAAAAATACGGAGTTTTTCTCATATTCCCCAATCTGCTTTTAAATATTCTATGATGAAAATCTTGAAACATACAGAAAAGTTGAAAAAATTGTACAGGTGAACCTTGAGCACGTCTGTCCATACCTCAACCCATCAATCTATTTTTTCTGATGCATTTCAAAGTAGTGGACATGACTGCACTGCACCCGTAAATACTGGAGCATACACATCGTTTAACTTGCCTTCTCTCCTACTTTTTACAAATAGAAGGTGTTTCCCATCAGATGTGTCCTGATCTTCATCCTTAAAGTTGAGGCTAATTTGTAGCTATGTTATGATGTCTTTCTTTGCTGCTTCTTTTTAAAACAAAAGGTACACGTGATTAGCAAGGTTCCAAAGAAGATTGTCAAAGTTTCTTATATGTTCTGGAGCAGCGCTCTAGTTCTTATTTTCTCTAAGAGACATTGCATGAGGATACTGGATGCAAGTTAAATCCTACTTATTGGATAATTTTTTAAAATTAAGAATTGAAGGCTGACCTAATCTTTAAGGATCAGATGTGGTGAAGCCAAACAGGGAAGTCCATATATTGTAAACAAGTAGGCTTGAGGGGTTTATCCTGACTGTACCTGGGTTCTGTTTTCTGTTTGAAAAAAATTATTTTAAACAGTTGCCTCTTTTGACTACGTACTTTAATGACTACAATGCCCAAAAATTAGTTACATGTTTCTAAGTAGTAAAACAGGAAAATTTTTGTTCTAATTTTGGTGCAGATAAGGTCGTGTACATATCTCTGTAACACTTAACAGTGGTTCTTAGAATCATTTTCGGATTTTCTGCTGCATAGGCTGTGTGATCTTTAATGAGATTCTTTAAGCCCTAAATACTCGGAGGACTATTTGGGGATAACTCTTTGACCAAGCCCTTGATCCTGACTATTTCCACTAGTGGGACCTTTAGAGAGAGTTCCTCAAGTCATCATTTCTCCCAGAGTCTCTCCTTCCCTCCCTCCCAAAAGGATTTCTGCATGGCTTAAAATCTTCTCCTTTCTTTTTATATATTTAGAAAATTCAAAATTTAGAAATAGTAGCTCCAGTCTGATGATTCTCCAGTATGTCCATATTATTGTTCTAGAGAGAATTATTGATAAGTTTAAAACTGAATGTACTTGATTTGGAATACTGATACTGATCTCTTATATTACTTCAGGTTGAAATTACTGTTCTTTTAATATACAAAAAGAGATGTTTTGTTAAAAGTCCTCCCTTTCCAGAAATAGTTAGCAAAATAAGACATTGAATGCTATTTTTTCTTTTTGGTGAGGAAGATTGGGCCTGAGCAAAACATCTATTGCCACTCTTCCTCTCTTTGTTGTGGAAGACTGGCCCTGAGCTAACCTCTGTGCCAGTCTTCCTCTATTTTGTATGTGGGACGCCGCCACAGCATGGCTTGATGAGCAATGTGTAGGTTTGTGCCTGGGATCTGAACCTGCAAAACCTGGCCTGCCAAAGCAGAGTGCGCAAACTTAACCACTGTAACACTGGGCTGGCCCCTAAATGCTAATTTTAATACCAGCTTTTTAACAATTGTAGGGACATTTAGACATCTAAGCTGATGTATAGTCCTTGAGCATTTGTAAAATTACTCATCTAAAACATTTAAACTGTTAGTCTTCTATAGATTTAATAGGGAGTGTTTATGCAGGCATTGCATCAAATCAGTTCTTTACAGACAGTATCTCATTTATTGTTCACACCACGCCTGTTTCCAAAGCCCCCTAAATGGTTGCGTTTAGCTGTACTGTCTTTCCGTACGTTGTGCTGTTTGTATCAAATTGAATGGATAGTGGAATCTCATCCTAGTGGATAATAGTCTTTCTTGAAAATTTTAGAATTGGTGTTTTTTGAGACTTCATAGAAAAAAGGGGTATTGGATGGTCAGTGTAGATGTTCAGTGCTGGGCAGGGTGTTAAACCCCTTCTCTGTAGTGCTCTGGAACCCGCGAGATAGTCAGGTGTCACTCCAGTTTTACCATTGAAGACACTAAGAGTAGGCTTCATTGTGTCTGCTAAGTGGTGGAGCTGCCGTTCACCCTCTGCTCTGACTTCAAAGCCATGTTCTTTCTGGTGCAGAGCTCTGTGCATGAAGTTGTTTACCATTTTATTCATATAAAGATGTATTCAGAAGGATGATTTTTGTCTTCAACAAATAAAATAAAGACACTTTATGTTTATTTTTTAAAAAGGATTTTGGTGGAAAGTTTAAAAAAAGCACTTGAACTCTAGATGATGAAAAGCCTTGCTTGCGAGAGGTCAGAAGACCTAGGTTAAATTCGTTGCCTACCTCTCGTTGATAGAGGAGATATGCTTTCTCTTAAATGTCTCTCTTTTCCGTCTTCCTTCTACTTTCTCTTTTGTAAGAGGAAAATGTTGATAAGTGACATTCACCACAGGAATATTTTTAGGATGAATAACATAATATATGTGAAATTCCTTGATATTTTTAAGATTAAGTCAGATGATTTTTATTAATTCTGCCACGATTGCTTTAGGGGAGCTAAGGAGTAAACCGAAACCAATTCCTTGATGTTTATAGAGCAGTCATTTTTATTATCTAGAGAGTGATTATCTATGTTGCAATTTATTGTAATTTCAGTTTGACAATGTCTACATGTTCTTTTAAATTACTTACTGAATTGGTGACTTTTTTTTTTTTTTTTAATTGACAACACCCTTCTGCTTTAAAACATTTCGGTGGCCTGTTTTGCCTACCGCCTGCACCCTAGCAGGGACCCATCAGGAAAACTAATCTCCAGAGAAGGTTTGAAACAGGCTTCTTGGCATAGACCTGTTCGTTTCCAGCAGGTGTAAGACCTGAGTAGGGTTCTTGGTGTGGAAACATATGGCCATCTTTACTCCTACACAATTACATCTTTTGGTTGTCTGAAATTAATTTATTAGGTAGCTTGTTTTGATATAACATAAAACAGAGTCCAAAGCCAAATCAGCATGGCTTTTTGTTTTACCTCCACCTCGTTTCTTCTGTCCCTGGTTGACTCTCTCACCTCACTCAGTGGCAGGGTAACCCAAGGCTTGAGGACTCCACGCTTTTCAGCCTAAAGTTTTCTGAGCAGGACTGAAGCATCTGGTAATTTCATCTTCATGGTTTCTTCTCTACCGCCAATGTTCATTCACTCAAAAGCTTTATTAAACCTCTTCTTTCTTTATCTTGAGTCCTTGTTTTCCTCCAAACATCAGGCCCTCCTTCACTGTCTCTTTTGATTTCCAAATTTTATTTATTAGTTCAGATGGTCATCTACCTTAGGAAACCCTAATTCTCAAGACATGAGTGTTCTACTTTTAAAAGCCAAAGTCCCTGAGAGTCTTAATTTTTTGATAAATGGATGGTGAAATAAGGCCATTGCTAAACTTTGTAAAAACAGGATTTTAAAATTAAAATGTACTTTAATCATTAAATTGCTAAAATTAGGTCTTTGATTATTAGCTTGTCTTATGATATATAGCCTCCTCGAGGAATTGTTAATTTGTGTATTCATTTAGTGTTTGGTATTTTTGTCAACAGGAAGAAGGTAGATAATGACTATAATGCCCTTCAAGAAAGACTCAGCACCTTGCCTGATAAGTTGTCTTATAATATCATGGTATGTTTGGTGTGTTTCTCTTAAAGTAGTATATGGTTTCTTGTAAAGATATTAACCATGTAAAGTAAGAAGGTGTTTCTTTGCTTTGTGTGTATTAACTCACAAATCACTAAGCTGATGGACTGTATCAGAGGTGACTACCATAGCAAGGAAGGCTTGTTTGTTTTACCTTATAATAATACACTAATTGTAGGAATAGTTGGTAATTTACTACTTTTCCTTTTTTTCAGGTTTATGTTAAATTATCACATTATGGCAACATAAATGGCATAAATGTTAGCACAAGATTTGACTTTTGGTATGCAAATTTACTATGTTAGAAAACTGTAATTATGACAGAAATCTGGCATTTAGTTATTTCCTGTTAGCCAGAGCAGTAATAGACTATACTGTTGTGTAATTCACAGAATTAAACCCAAGAATGTTGATTTTATATAAAAAGGTGCTGCTAATTTTTGTTTGAATGATCCTTACATCAACATAGCAATCTCTTTGTGTGCCCTGGATTAGAGTCTTTCATTGCGTAAATATTCTTTTTCGTGAAGACTTTGTTTTTAATTATACCAGACGAAATTTTTTGTAAATGTATTTATTGTTCTTTATTATACTAGCCCAAGTATTTTGTAAATCTTGTAGACTCATTAAAGCCATTTATTTAATTCTTACTGTGCAAAAGAAATTTGGCTAGGGTCGGCCCCGTGGCCGAGTGGTTAAGTTTGCGTGCTCTGCTTTGGCAGCCCAGGGTTTCACCAGTTCGAATCCTGGGCGTGGACATGGCACCACTCATCAGGCCATGCTGAGGCAGCATCCCACATGCCACAACTAGAAGGACCCACAACTAAAAATGTACAACTATGTACCGGGGGGCTTTGGGGAGAAAAAGGAAAAATCTAAAAAAAAATTTGGGCTATTTTATAGGAAATAATTTTCAGGTTTTTTTGTCAAAGGAATTGTTTATTAACTTAGTATGTCATTACTAGTTTGCTTTCATTTAGATTTATGAATGAACAAAAAGTATAAACGTTCAGAGACAATGCTGATTTCTCTGAAGGTGTATGTAAATGTGCTTATTTCTTTTCCTGTTTTCATGTTGATTTATAAACCTAGAACAATTTTCTACAGGTTTTCCTAGTGAAACTTTAATGTTAAATTTCTGTGAAGTTGACATTTTATTTTTCTTAGTGTATAGATTAAAAAGACCTCAACTCAGAGCTTTTAATGCTTGTGTTTCATAAAATGTATTTTGTAGTGGTTTTAATTTTTTGCCTTTTTTCTTTAAACAATAGGTACCATTTGGCCCCTTTGCCTTCATGCCAGGAAAACTTGTCCACACTAATGAAGTCACTGTTTTACTCGGGGACAACTGGTTTGCAAAGTGCTCAGCAAAGCAGGCTGTGGGCCTAGTCGAGCACCGGAAAGAACGTATGTACCAGTTATAAATGATGTTTCCTTGCTGGATGTGTATTGGTTCACAGATTGCCAAGCTGACTGACTGTTAGTTATTGAGAGTACTTTCCGTGATTTATCAGTCCGGGCTGTTTGTAATCTGTTGAATCACAGGTAGTGTGAGGAGAACCAGCATTTGAGAATGTGAGCTGGAGAATGGAACGTCTGGGTTGGAAATATCACCCACATTAATATGTTTTCAGAAATGATTAAAGTGTAAAAGTAATTACACGTGGTTTTGTAGATAGAAGTTGGGAAGACATGAGAATTGGGGTCATTTTGTATTTTATAATTGATTTATTTTAAGTGCTTTTATAGACTTAATTTTAATACTTTAATACACAGAAGGAATTTACTTTCTACTTACTAAAAGAAATACCTATTAGCAAAAGTGGAAACAATTCTTAACGTGCTTTTTGGTTTAGAAGGAGTCGTATTTTCATTTCACAGAAGAAGAGATCAAGTGTGGAGAGGTGCCACCTAAAGTGGTGGCTTATGCGTAAGTGGTTTGAGGTCTCTGCCTCGTTTGATTGAGATAGTTGTTTAGTTTTCTTTATCTGTGGTAGTATTTATCGGTGGATACACATCCACACACACATTTTGTAGTTGGATAGGTTGGCTTGGGTTCTAGCTTAGTTGCATTTTAAAATTAGGTTTATTTAATATCTAATCTATGTTTTTATTTCTATAACAGCATACTTAAATTGATAGCATAATGTCCTCCCTACCTGCTTTTTAACCTTTTAGTTAAATGTGTGTTTGAAAATAAACTTTTGAGGATCCTTCTGTATAAATGAGGTGATATAGATACAAAACAGCTGAGTCTTCTAACGCTGAAATTATTTCGCTTATGTAAGAGTGGGTACTAGTTAGAGCACTCATTTACTCAGTGAAATTCTGGGATCTATATTTGGTGACTGTACTTGCAAATCAATTTCTACAAGTTTATAACTGATACTTATTTTGATCTTTTATGACGCTAATCAGAATCTTATTGTTAGACCTGTATGCAATTTCTGGCAACGATAGTTCTTTTGGCATTACTGCATTAAAGTCAGTCCAGTATGCTGGAGGAAAGAGAATGGGCGTGCTTCTTCATTACAGGCCTTTCTTAATGGAGAAGGCTTGCTTTATTTACTGGGGAAGCTCTGCTGATATGAAGTCAGTTCATAGTCTGTTGAGTTTGTTCACTTTGCTTTTCATATGGATATTTCAGTAAAGAAATCTTTAGAATCAGTTATGCCTTCATATATTAATGGGGGAATAGTTTTAATAGAATAGAATGGAGCTTTAGAATAGCGTAATGTCTTTTGGTAAATCACTTTGCACTGTTAAATATGGTTTTAGGAACTAACCAAACATCATAACTTTTGGGATCAATATGTATCTGAAATAATTTTCAGAATACATATGTATAAATTGTATTTGAGAACCTATTATGATAGATGAATTCTAACAAGTTTTATTCATACAGTTTTATAATAATTTATAATAACTGAATAAAATGTTTAGGCTTATTGTTATACTTAACATTTATTAAGAAAAGATACTTTATTTTTCTGAAGGCAGAAGAAATATATAACAAGTTAAACGTGCAGTCACCTACCTCACTGTTGACAGGGTGATTGGGGAGGGTGGAGGGACGTGATTGTCTTTTAAGAAGGAAGTCAAAATGAAAGACAAAACAGGTTTAAAACAACAACAAGAAAAGGGCTCAGAGGAGAGCTGCCTCTGGGGATGATGATTTCTAATGGTGCCCTACCATTTGTGCTCACATCTTGAATTTTTGCCATTTAACATGAATATGACCAGCTTTTTAAAGTTTTTTTCTAATGTTTGAAATGATCAGAGTGAAATTGACTTTCTATTTGGTATACTCTCCTGTGAGTTACAACACATGCAAACATTTGTTTAACCATCACCACTATCAGGAAACAGAATAGGATACAGGATCACACCAGAAACACTCTCATGCTTTTCTTTTGTGACCATGCTGCGAACCTCTGCCGCTGAGGCCTGACAGCCACTGATCTGTCTGTCTCACTGTTAGTGTTACCTTTTCCAGAATGTCGTACAAATGGAATCATACACTTTGTACCCTTTTGAGACTGGCTTCTTTCATTCACCATAATGCCTCATCCAGGTTGTTCTGTGTATCAAAAGTTTTTCCTTTTTACTGCTGTGTATTGTTCCATTGTATGCATGTACCACACTTTTTCTGTTCACCCATTGAAGAACATTTGGGTTGCTTCCATTTTTTGACAATTATGAACAGAGCTGCAGCAAGCCTTTGTGTACAGGTTTGTGTGTGACTATAAATGTTCATTGCTGTTGCTAAATGCCTGCGAGTGGGATTGCTGGGTCTTAATGATAAGTGTATGTTCGGTTCCTAAGAAACTGCCAAGCTGTTTTCCATAGAGGCTGTATTGTTTTACATCTCTTCAACCACAGCAGGGTATGAGAATCCTAGTAGCTTTGTGTCCTTATCAGCCCTTGGTATTGTCATTTTTAAAAATTTTAGCCATTTGAATAGGTATATAGTGGTTTTAATTTGCATTTCCCTAATGGCTAATGATGTTGAGGGTTGATTCATGTACTTATTTGCTATCTGTATATCCTCTTTCATCAGTTGAAGTCTTTTGTCCGTTTTTAAAACTTGGGTTGTATTTTTCTTGCCCTTGAGTTTTGAGAGTTCTTTATGTATTCTGGATACAAGGCCTTTGTCGACTCTGTGATTTGAAAATATTTTCTCCTAGTCTGCATCTTGTCTTTTTATTCTCTTAACAGGGTTTTTCTAGAGCAAAAGTTTTTAATTTTAAAGTCCAGTTTATTACTTTTTTCTTTTATGGATCATGTGTTTAGTGTCATATCTAAGAACTCTTTGCCTAACCTCAGTTCATGAAGATTTTCTTCTGTGTTTTCTTTTAAAATGTTTATAGTTGAAATTTTGCACTTAGATCTGTAATGCATTTTAAGTTAATTTTTGTGTAAGGTATGAGGTTTAGTTCAATCTTTTTACATATGGATGTCCAGTTGGTCCAATGTCTTTTGTTGAAAATACTCTCCATTGAATTGCCTTTGTACCTTTGTCAAAAGTGAATTGGTAGTGAAAACCACGATGAGATACATTTCATCCCTACTAGGTTGGCAATGATAAAAAGACAGACAATAACATATAATGGCGAGGATGTGGAAAATTGCACCCCTTATATGTTGCTGGTGAGAAAGTAAACTGGTGCAGCCACTTTGGAAAACAGTTTGGAGTTTTTCACAAAATTAAACACTAAGTTATCATATTACCCTATTCCACACCTCAATATTATTATACCCAGGAGAAATAAAAACATACGTCTCCACAAAAACTCATACACGAATGTTAAGAGCAGCATTATCCATAATAGCCAAAAAAATGGAAACAACCCACGTCTATCAACTAATGAATGGATAAATAAAATGTGAATGTTGTTCAGCAAGAAAAAGAAATGTACCTTGAAAACATTATGCTAAGTGAAAAAAGTCAGCTACAAAAGACTACATATTGTATGATTCCACTTTCGTAAAATATTTAGAATAGGCAGATTGATAAAACGAAAAGTAGAGGAGCGGTTGCTAAGGGCGAGAAAGGTATGGGGGAGAATGCAGAGTGACTTTTTAAAAATTTTTTTTATTTTTAAAGATTTAATTTTTTTCCTTTTTCTCCCCAAAGCCCCCCAGTACGTAGTTGTATATTCTTCGTTGTGGGTCCTTCTAGTTGTGGCATGTGGGACGCTGCCTCAGCATGGTTTGATGAGTAGTGCCATGTCCGCGCCCAGGATTCGAACCGACGATACACTGGGCCGCCTACAGTGGAGCGTGCGAACTTAACCACTCAGCCACGGGGCCGGCCCCCTGGAGAGTGACTTTTAATTTATTTGAATACGTTATATATGGATATGATAAAATTTAAAGGATATTTATTGAAATATAAGTATCCCTCTTTCTCCTGTCCCTTGGCATCCACTTGACCAACCTGGATGCATCACTGTTGTTGGTATCTTACTTATTATTTTGTGTGTTTATATCCACAGACTGAGGCATTCCCAACTCACCACATACACAACCACTCAAATGGTAGCACATGTTTTTTTGCCTCTTGCTGTCTCCTTCTTTTAATGACTGTGTGGCATTATGTTATATGGATACACCGTAAGTTATGTAACCAGTCTCTTACTGATAAGCTTTTAGGTTGTTTTCAGGTTTTTACTGTTAAAAACAAAAGTATAATAAATAACCTGTGTGTATGTATGTATCGTTTTGTACTTGTGTATCTAGATCTGTAGGATAAATGACTGGGATTGAATCAGTGGCATAAAGGGGTATGTGGTTTTAACTTCGATAATGCCAGTCTGAAGATCGTGACTGCCTACTCCTTTGCGAACCCAATGTGCTGTCAAACTTTTTTGAAATTGATAACTTCTTATCGTCTCCCCATTCAACTGACTTCCTTTCTCCATCCCTCCCGCCTTCCCTCCCTTCTTGCCTTCCCTTTATTGTGTAAAATACATATAACATAAAGTTTACCATTTTAACTGTTTTTAAATGTACAGTTCAGTGGCATTACGTACGTTCATGTTGTTGTTTAACTGTAACCACCACCCATCTCAAGAGCTTTTTCATCTTCCCAAACTAAAACTGTGTTGCAAACAGTAATTCCCCATTATCCCTCCAACCAGCCCCTGGTAACCAGTATTCTACTTTCTTTCCCTATGAATTTGACTATTCTAGATACCTCATAAATAGAATCATATAATATTTGTCTTCTGGTGACTGGCTCATTTCACTGATATAATGTTTTCAAGGTCCTTCCATGTTGTAGCACGTATTGGAATTTCCTTCCTTTTTAAGGCTGAATAATATTCTGTTGTGTGTATATACAACCTTTTGTTTATTTGTTCGTATTTTGATGGACACATGGGTTGTTTCTACCTTTTGGCTGT